CCCCCAACAATCCGGGTCCTCATTTTACCCACCTCAGAAGGATGGAAGGCTGAGTCAACCTTGAGCCTGGTGAGATTCAAACTGCTGGCAATTGGCAGTCAGCAGAATTAGCTTGCAATACTGCATTCTAAACACTGGGAAGGGGAGTGAGTGAGTGAGTAAGTGAAGAAGGAAGGAAGGAAGGAAAGAAGGAAGGAAGGAAGGAAGGAAGGAAGGAAGGAAGGAAGGAAGGAAGGAAGGAAGGAAGGACTGACTGACTAGCAATAGCCCATAGATTTATATGCTGTTTCCCAGTGCTTTACAGGCCTCTCTAAGCCGTTTACAGAATCAGCCTCTTGCCCCCAACAATTTGGCTCCTCATTTTACCCACCTCGGGAAGATGGAAGGCTGAGTCAACCTTGAGCCAGTCAGGATCGAACTGCTGGCAGTGGGCAGAGTTAGCCTGCAATGCTGCATTCTGAACACTGGGGACAGCCACTGTGCCACCAAGGCTCAATGCATTGAACATCAAGACCTCAAAACATTGAATAGCCAAGGTCTCAAGTCTTCAGAAACCACCGCAAATTAGGCACAGCTGATTCATACAGTTCATTTAGACTAGTGCCATTCACAAAGGTTTGGAGCAGAAGTTCCAGCACTGGCTGAAATACTGGGAGTCCCCTCTTTATGACCATTTATTTAGTGACCCATGCAAAATTATGACGCCACTGGGAAAAAAGGGACTTACAAGCGATTCTTGTACTTACAGCCATTGTGGGATCTCCATGGTCATGCCATCAAAATTCAGGCACTTGGCAACTGACATGTACTTATAACAGTTGCAACTGCCCGGGGTCCTGTGGTCACCACTTGCGGCCCGGAGAGTGAAAGACTTACCTGCGATTAAGATGCCTAAGAATACCTGGTGGAATAATTTACGATGAGCCTTGCAGAATCTCTTTGCTTTAGAGAAAGGCTGAGTCACATTCTTGAGCCTGCTGAAAGGCACGTCAAGAAAATCAATGTTACAGAACATCTGGAAGGGATCCTATACATCATTTTGTGGAGCCCCATTTTGGATATTTATGATTAGACTAGCTGGATACCCGTGCGCTGCTACAAAACTTGATGATCGGGGTTGATAAATTGACACTTATAGCTTGAAAATTAAGCCTCTCCTCTCCTATCTTATCCCCTTCTCTTCTTCAGTCTTAGCATCAGAGCATTTTTTAGGCTGGGAGGGGGAATAGAATGTCTAAACGCCCAGATGGATGAGTTGCGCATTGGCCATGCCCACATCCGAGTGGCAGTTGGAACAGAGTTCTTTTCAGGTGGGGAGGGAGAGTAGAACGTCTAACTCCTTAGCTTCAGAGTGTTGTAATAATAATATAAGAAATACTAACGATCTAATACTCATCCTTGAAGGTCTTTCCCCAAAGACCTTCAAGGATGAATAAAATCAGGCTCTTTTTCCATATGGGACCACATCACCTCGATTAATCCCATGACTTCATTCTTCTTTTCTAAAAATCTCACTACATTAGTACAGTAAACGGCTCTGAGTTTCTGGAAATGGAGCAGCATACAAACGATAGCAATAATATCAAGCAATATCCAAAGGAGCTATCATATTTCTGTGGCATTTCTGAGAGGTAATTATTCTTCCTTCCTTGCACAAGTTGGGATGAAAAGACAAACTGGGAGCTCAGATTGAGGCTGCCAATCTACAGGGGCTCACACAAAACATCTAAGAAGGGGAACATCTGGGGATCTACTAGTTTTAAACAACAGTTGATTCTCCAGCTGAAACAACACATTTCCTTGGTAGTCCATATTTAGTACCTCCCAAAATGACTGTCCTGGACAGGATTTTCTTCCCCAAGAGATGGTGCTTCCTTTCCATTTGTCTCTGATTCCTGCCAAAAACACAGACACCATTAGCATCTTTGCAGAAAGTGTGAAGGACAAAGCTAAGGAGGAGAAGAAAAACTTACCATAAGCTCAAATGTTGGGTTCGCCAAGCCCTTATGACTGTTTTTAGGTGAAATCTTGACTTCCCCCATTCCATTTCTCTCTGATTCCTGCCAAAAACACAGACCCTGTTCACCAACTTTAGGGAAAGTATGAAGGACAAAGCTAAGAAGAGGAAGAAAAACTTACCATGGTCTCAAATGTTGGGTTTGCCAAGCCCTTATGATTGTTTTTAGGTGAAATCTTGACTTTGTCCATTGTCTTGGGGTTCTGAAGCTGCTACCTCCACCTTGGCCTGTTCTGGAAGACAAGATCCATTGTCAGCTTGCCGAGTATTTATTTTCAACTAAAAAAGGCTCTGTCCTGCGCACTGACAATAAAAATCAGAACACCAAATACAAGTTGGGTGGAAACGATCACGTAGATGACCCTCACTCTGTCAAGGACCTAGGAGTACTCATCTCAAATGATGAGATCCCTAGATCTCACTGTAAAAAGACATTAAGAGTTGTCACCCTAATTTTGTGAAGCTTCTTCTCCGGTAACATTCTACTGCTAATTAGGGCATACANAAAGGAGATTTCTTCCAACATCCGGTTCTCCGAACTGCTTAGGAAGTTAACAACTGGTTCTCCCGAATTGGTGCGAACTGGCTGAATCCCACCACTGCTTCTGTGCTAGAATATTTATATTTTACTTGCCTGGCTAAGGATCCTAGGGCAGAATCCAATTTTTTTAGCCTTTTTAAAAAAAAATCAGTTGTATTATCTTTATGTTCCATCACTTATATTACTTCTTTCATTGTGTTGTGTTGTGTTGTGTTCTGCATTGCATTGCATTGTATTTATTCCTCCATGATCATGGCGTTATAAGATGCAAGCTCACCCTTAGGGTCATCCAATCCAACCATCAGCTCAATGCTCTAGAAATTCTCTAGAGATTCTCTAGAGATGCTTTAGAAATTCTCTAGAGATTCTCTGGAAATGCTCTAGTATTTAAAGAAGCAAAATGAAGATTGGCTCACCATGGTATCTTGAAAAAATCCTGTCCATAAAACTGATCTGTACAGCCTTACCATTTCAGCCACCGCCAGGCCTTCTGACAGCATTTGCTGCAGGGGCTCAACATCTGGATAATCTTGGCTCCCAAATATTTTTTGACTAAGCTATAGGCAAGGAAAGCAACAGCCAGGCTTGTCAAAACGATCAGGGCCAAAGCTCGCTGGTAGTCCAGGTAACAAGCAGCAATGAAGTAGGCCAGGTAGCCTAAAATGAGAATAGCAATGCCACGTATATACCACTTCACAGTGTTTTACAGCCCTCTCTAAGCTGTTTGCAAAGTCAGCCTCTTGCCCCCAACAATCTGGGTCCTCATTTGACAGACCACGGAAGGATGGAAGGCTAAATCAACCTTGAGCCAGTCAGGATCGAACTGCTGGCAGTGGGCAGAGTTAGCCTGCAATACTGCATTCTAACCACTGAGAAGGAAGGAAGGAAGGAAGGAAGGAAGGAAGGAAGGAAGGAAGGAAGGAAGGAAGGAAATCTCTCTTAAGTGGTCTTACAGAGTCAGCCTCTTGCCCCCAACAATCCGGGTCCTCATTTTACCCACCTCNTAAAGGGGGCGTGCATAAGCGCACCAGCCTGTCTACTGTCCCTGTCTTACTGTCCCCATTTATTCATACCCATTTCCTGTGTTCGTGTCCGTGTTTATACTTCTACATGTTATCTCGTACATGTTTGGCAAACTAAATAAATAAATAAACATTTGGAAATAGAGTCATGTTCATTTTTTTAAAAAAATATGGCACACCTGTGATTCAACACGAAGGATCCCTGATCATTTTAGCAGCCTTTTGATCTACAGAAGCGTGAGTACGAATTCAATGACAATCACAATAATCACTCAAAATCGTTGCTGCTTGAGAACCTGTCTAAGTCTTCTCCTACCCCACTAGATCTCACTGTCATATGCTGGGCATTGTCTTGGGTCAAATCAAAGAGTTGATTTGACTAATGGCTCCAATAGGATCTTTCGGAACTGAAGCTAGTGGACATGTGACTTGTAAGGAGAGATTTTGTGCTGGAGGAACAAGGGGTATCACGTAACATCTTCAAACATTATTCTACTCATACCTGAATCTGATTGCCCAGCCATTGGAAAGCCTGAAATCCAGGTTCAGTTCGGATGATGAAGATTCCAAGGATAAATTGTAGACCAAGACCCCACGACACAGCTCTCCAGGATACCTGCAACCGAGGACATTTGGTGAACATCTTCTAGACCAGGGGTGTCAAACTCAATTTCATTCATGGGCGCATAAGGGTTGTGTGGGCCTTGGGGGGAGGGGCAGGTGGCCGTAGCCAAGGTGGGCATGGCCCAGTGGTCGGATTCAAAATTTTTTACTACCGGTTCTGTGAGTGTGGCTTTGTGGGCGTGGTGTGGCTTTGTGGGCGTGGCAGGGGAAGGATATTGCAAAGTCCCCATTCCTTGCCCACTCCTGGGGGAAGGTTACTGCAAAATCCCCATTCTCTCCCCATCCCACTAACTTGCTTTCCAGCTCCATTCTCCTGTTCAGGGCAACAAAAGAAGATCAGCTGGGAGGCTAGGAAGGAACAGGGGCGGGGCCAGCCTATTTGCGGGTTGTCCAAACTGCTCAAAATTTCCACTGCTGATTCTTCAGAACTGGTCAAAACTGGCTGAATACCACCTCTGGTGTGGCCACCTTGACATCACTTGTGTTGGAGGAACAATTGGCTGTCTTCAATGAACAAGTGACTTCTCCCTAAGCCAGGGGTGAAATCCAGCAGGTTCTGACAGGTCCTGGAGAACCGGTAGCGGACGTTTTGAGTAGTTCGGAGAACCGGTAGCGGAAATTTTGAGTTGTTTAGAGAACCGGCAAATGCCACCTCTGGCTGGCCTCGGAGTGAGGTGGGAATGGAGATTTTGCAGTATCCTTCCCCTACCACACCCACCAAGCCACACCCACCAAGCCGCACCACGCCCACCAAGCCATGTCCACAGCACTGGTAGTAAAAAAATTTGAATTTCACCACTGCCCTAAGCCAACATCATGGAGAATTTATAGACTGCTCCAGTGGTGGGATTCAGCCAGTTTACACCTATTCGGGAGAACCGGTTGTTAACTTTCTAAGTAGTTCAGAGAACCGGTTGTTGGAAGAAATCTCCTTTTGTTTT